AGAGAGAGAGAGAGAGAGAGAGAGAGAGAGAGAGAGGCAGGACAGGATGGAAAAGGGCCTCCGGGAAGAAAGGAGCACACGGAATCGCTGGTGGCTTGATTCACGATGGGGCGACACCGCACCGGCGAAAAGGGTCCGGCGCACTTTTGCTCGTGCGATGAATTTTCAATGGGAAAAGCGACGGCCAGGGTGCATCTGTTTGTCTTTCGGATCACGCCTTTAACGCTGAGACTTATAATGCCTCCGCCGCGTGTATGTACACGCGTGTTCCCCTTTTCGTATTGAGAGACTTGTTATTCGTACTTGCGGCCCCGTGTACACGACCGCTTCGTTATCAAACGCTCCGCCGGCGAATTTTCGTCGCATTCTGCCTGATCACTTCACGACGTCTTCTCCTGAGACAGACGCCTCTTAAGAAGGTTCAACTAAGACGCAAAACGTTGTATTTTTCTTTTTTTTTTTTTTTAATAAGTAAAATTTTTATTAACACACTAAGGATCAAGTGTAATAATTTATCGTAACGTTGTAAATACGAGTACTTCATTCTCGTGAGAATTTCATAAAATTATATGGAAGATGTAACGACGAAGAGATATTAAGCAAATTTGGTTTTTATTCTACATCTAGAGTTGACCAATAGGTCAATTTACCACAAGCTCACTATATTTACTCTTTTTGGACATCTCTGCAATACTTTCGTAATCAGGCCATCTAACAATAATCAGGCCTTCTATTCTTATCTTAATATTAGGTATCTCAAAGATATCTGAAACTACGAAATTATCTTCAACAAACAAATCGCCCAACATTCTGCCACTCCTGTTCCAAAGTAATCATTCTCACGTGTCATCTTAAGTACCAAAAATATTTCAAATTACGAAATTATCTTCAAACAAATTACCTCAAACTGAATCACACGTAAACCACTTCACTGTATCTCGAAACGAAATCTCAAAATAGATTGTCGCTTCTATATTTCACGTTGTAAAAATATTTCAAACCCCTGAGATTATCCGCAACAATCTCCAATCTTTATCTCGCCGAGAGTCTGAAAACAAATTCCAAACAATCGAAGCAAATCGATCGCAGAAGCATCCATTATCCGTAATCCAGGCGAAGACAATTCTCGAAAGGAAGCGTGGCGCCGCGGTACGCCGTCTTACACGTTGTCACGTCGGCAGGTATGGGTATCCATCCCATTTGCAACTAGTCGCATTATTGTTAGCCCTAGGTATGTACCATACCGCGCTGGTACACAACGCTTGTGTACACACGTATCTCTGGCCCAGGTAGCTACTACGTACGAAGCTGTGCCTCATCCTCCGAGAATCCATCCGTGCCATGTATATGTGCTATAAGCTTGCGCGCGCGCGTTCATTCTCTGAACTCCTCCTCTGTCATACACGTTAGAATATAAGGATGTCTAACGTACGTACGTATATACGTGTATACGTGTACACGTCGCAGCCGAGTATGCGAACGCCTCTCTGTGTGCGTGCGTGTATGTGTGTGTATGTGTGTGAACGGGCGCAGGAGACTAGGGGGTGGTGTAATATAGAGAGCGGCTAAAGGCGGACGTAATTTCCTGCCCGCCTGACAACGCTACAGACATGTTTGCGAACTCGACGCACACAACCTACTTAGAGCCTACATGTGTCTCTACGACAATGCGCCGACACAAGCTTAATCTATTCCCCGCAGGTATGTACAAGCGTATAGGCTGGCTGTGTAGGCAAGCGATGGGTGGTTGGGTGGGTGGGCGTGTGTGTGTGTGTGTGTGTGTCGGTGCATCGACGATGCGACCTGCAGCATCTACCGGCGCCGCCGTCGCCGCCCTGAGGGCTTTGATCGGAATACAGAGAGGATGACCCAATCGGAGGATACCTCGATATAAGTTGCTGTTTCCGTGCCCGGCTGGCGGAGATGCGTCTTCGATGAACAGACTGACCTCGAACCGCATACATGCATATAAACGTGTGTGTAAGGTGGCCGGAACGTGTGGTTGCGGAGGCCGTTTGCTGGAGGACAGTTTGCTGATCGGCGAATTCTAACGGTAGTTAACTTGAGATTACCGATTCCGGGGCGCAGAGACCGGGATTCCGAAGATCCAGCGGTTTCTGTGGCTACGCTCCGGACGTTTATGCGGTTCTCGGTTCTTGGGCTGTTGAGTTTGCGGGGTGATATCGGCGAGTCGCGAGTTCCTGTGAAGTTTGCCATGATTTGTAATTTCAATGTTTTTAGCATAAGCAGTAACATTGAACTTTGTCAAAATTGTAGTTAGGAATGTAAATGAATGAGGGAATACAAGAAGAAGAATTAGGTTAATCCTTAATTGTTATCATTGAACTAATCATAACAATTTACAGTTAAATATTGCCAGATTGATTATCAGGTTAATTAAAAATTTCAAAATGTTCTGAGAGGTGTTGGAACACTTTCCGCTGTATCTCACAATGTCATTATACTACTACGTCCCTCAATCGACCACTAAAAATCAGACGTGAAGTAGAGTTATACTCTTATCATTGGAATCTGTCAGTTGATTCGAACGTAAGCAGTATATTGAACCGACATGTTGAAATTATCTATCGTTTCCTCGGGAATATTCGGAGCAAGAAAAATTCGGAGCGTCGGCACAGACTGTGTGAGATGTATAAAAGCAGCTCGAGAAGAGAACGGGTAGACGATCCAAGTGGAAGAGAGACAAAATAGGCGGCGCTCCTCTCTCGGCTCTCGTCCTTCAAAAGACTCGGAATATTGTCCTGCAGTGCAAACAGTCGCAGACACATTCTACGTTTCCAGCTCGCCTCGAGGCAGCGCCAAGACGCTTCGGCTTCGGCTTCGGCTTCGCCTTCGCCTTCGCCACGGTTGTCCGTGTTTGCCCGCAGGCAAATGTGTTTCCTTAGGCTGTCCGAAATGTTTGGACGAAGGCAGCAAGCCGGCTCGGCCGCGAGCCGCTCCTCTGCTATTCCACCCTGCTATCAGAGTTTCAGCTCTTTTCGATAAAAAGGAGAAAAAAGAAAAAAATACTCATCCGTAGTGTCGTAGTTTTCTTACGAAACATTCGAACGTTGCACGGTTCGTCTGGTTGCACAGGTTTGTCTGTGAAATCGGCGTGGACGAATCGATGAGATTAGTATCGTCGCGAAAGGATAATATATAGGGATATTGTTTAAGCGAGTTTTTCAAAAGTCGAATTGGTGAATTTTATGATGGCTTCTGTATGAAGTTATGAATTTCACGTCATTTCCACGTGATGTTCAATGTCTGAAAGAAGAAGTTTATTTCTCGTAAAGGAACAGTACAAATTATAGTTATCATTTTTCTATAGTTTTGAATATGAGATAATCTGTTTGTGAGAAAATACACTAAGCAAAGAAGAGTTGAAAAAAACAATTGGAAGACGAAGGAGAAACAACGAATATTTACGGAATATCTAAAAGGAATCATATATAGTACGTTGAAACGATTAAAACTCGCAATAAAATAAAAATAATCTTAAAACATTAGTTGTTGACAATTTAAAGAGTATTTCAATAGTTTTGGTAGTGTTTGAATATTCTTGTCACGCGAAAATTGTTATGATTTCATTTAATCTTCAATATCCTGAATCATATTGAAACTTTATACATATTTCAAAGTACAATAAACGGTCCCTAAATGGTTCCTTCTCGCTTATTACTAAAGATGTAAAACATTGAAATTGAATATTTTAGAAATTCACTGTGTATATAGCAGAATTAGTGGAAAATTGTCCCTTAGAAAGATAATATTTCGAAATTTTTTCGTTCGCATTCTACAAGCATGAAATTCCAAGTGTACTCAAAGTCTAAATTCACGATTTACGATGAAATTTTTATTGCAATCTGTCTCCAACCGCGAGTTTAATCGTGTCAGTCTGAGGTCTGACCCTTCTTTCAGAAAATATAAAAACGAAGTTACATTTCGCTCGAAAAAAACAAAAAAAAAAAAAAAAAAGAGAATCTTTCGACGAAGGTTTCTAAAGTACTTAAATCATTTCGGAA